GTAAGTGTGTAAGAGATGGATCACATTTTGAAAAACTTGTTGACAAAGTCCATTTTAGTTTTTAGTTGTTTTTTGTTTTATTATTTTTTTCAAATACAATTTTTTGTACTAAAGACACAAAAAGCTCATTTTACGCATTTTTTGCAGTTTTTTTTTGATAATCTCSCTTTCCAAGTTGATATAAAYCAAGAAAATTTCTGAYAGATAAGTCCAGGAGAGATGGACTAGATTTTGAAAAATCTGCTGCCCAAGGGTTAAAGCCCATCTCAATTTTCARTTTTTTTACATTTTGTAATTTTTTTGAAGCACATTTTACGCTTTTTTTGAGTAAATCCGTGTGACATAGACCACATTTTAAGAAACCWGCTSTTTTCAGTCTAAAGTTTATCTCAATTTTCAGTTTTTACGTTTTATTGTTTTTTGAAAGTCAATTTTTTCAACGCAAAAAGCTCATTTTATGCATTCTCTTCTAGTTTTTTTCGATATTTTGCTTTTAAGTTGATATAATTCTAGTAAAGTTGTAATAAAGTAAGTCCTGGAGAGATGGACCACATTTTAGAAAACTTGCTGTCTCAATTTTTATACCAAGTTTGACGCAAAAAGCTTATTTTACGCATTTTTTTTTCGTTTTTGTTTTGATACTTCGCTTTCTAAGTCGATATAAAAGAAGAAAATTTCTAAGAGAATAAGTCTGAGAGAGTTTTTGAAAAACCTGCTGTCTAAAGGTCGAAGCCCAACTCAATTTTATTTTTTTTACGTTTTGTTATTTTTTTAAAGCACAGTTTTCTGTATTAAATCTGACGCATAAACCTCATTTTACGCATTTTCTTTCASTTTATTTTAGTTGTTTTTTATGTTTTGTTATTTTTTTRAAATACAATTTTTTGTACTAAAGACGCCAAAAGCTCATTTTTTGCAATTTTCTTTGATAATTTACCTTTTCAAGTTGATTTAAATCAATTAAATTTCTGATAGATTAAGTCCAGAAGAGATTGGCTAGATTTTAAAAAACTTGTTGTCCAAAGGTTAAAACCCATCTCAATATTCAGTTTTTTTACATTTTGTAATTCTTTTGAAACACATTTTACGCTTTTTTTGCAGATTTTTTCGATAATTTTGCTTTTAAAGTCGATATAAATCATGAAAATTCCTGTTCAAGTAAATCCTGCTGGTCCCAATCCAAAGTTCATCTCAATTTTCAGTTTTCACCTTTTTTGTACTAAATTTGACGTAAAAAGCTCATTCTACGCATTTTTTGTAGTTTTTTTCACTCGAAAAGTCAGAAAATTTCTAATAGAGTTTGAGATAAATGGCCCACATTTTGAAAAACCTGCTGTTCAAAGTCCATCTCAATGCTCACTTTTTGTTATTCTTTTAAAAACAATTTTTTCTTTCAGTTTTTTCGATAATTTTTTTTCCAAGTTTCAAGAATATTCCTAATAGAGTAAATTCGAGAGAGATGGACCAGATTCTGAAAAACCTGCTGTGCAAAGGTTAAAGCTCATCTAAATTTTCATTTTTTTTTATTTTGTAATTTTTTTGAAACACATTTTACGCATTTTCGATAATTTTGTCGAATAAAAAAAAACTTAAGTGAGTTAATCAACAGTTTTATTCGAAACATAAACTAATATTGTGTATTCTCTCCGCCAACAAACTCATCGCTTCGTAAATCGGCGGCTCCGGTCTCGGATTCTTGACCAAAACTCTATTAAGTTGGTCAATCCTCCCAGGGATAATTTTATCCAAAATACACGACACGATCAAACTCTCCGATTCCTCCTCACTRATYCCTAACTCTTCCCCAATAAACGCGATTTTCACCTTCTCGTAGGGCTTAATCAAGATGAGCAAAATCTTGGTCCTGAAACTCTTCAAAAGATCAATAATATGCTCTTGAATAAACTGGTCTTTCATGAGCGACTCTTTATTCTCCTGAAAAATCTTCTCAAACTGTTTCATGTCGTTGTTTTGGTACGCTGCGATTAAATTCGTCATTGTCTTAATCTCCGGTTTGTTTTTGTACGGTTTGGCTTCTTGGGAATCAAACGGATCAATTGCTGATTTCATCAACATACTCGTCAAGAGGATGTATTTCAAACAGGCGAGTCGTCGCGGATTCCCCGACTCGTCRTAATTTTTAAAAGCTTCGAAAAAGTCCGTGTAAGCTTTATCGTAATCGCCCGATCTCAAATACATCTTCCCACCACACTCCCTGATTATACTCATGATAATGGGATGAGGAATCGCCGAGCGGACTTTCAGCGAGCGTTCATACAACTCTTTCAGATGTTGGTGATTTTTCAGTTCCGTGTACATTTGTATTTCAAGGGCGTAGACTTCGAGGAGTTGCGTACCTTTGTGCAAATCACTTTCAGAGTACCCACAAGCCTGTTTCAGTTGTCGCAAAATCGACCCAAGTTTCCCAAACTCCCCCTTCTCCAAGTACACTTTCCCCAGTTTGGTGTTGGTCTTGAACCAAAGTCGGTCGTTTTTCGAGTTTTTCAGCGCGTCCAGTGTCGTTTCGTAGAAGTTTTTCAGCATTTCCATGTCGTCGGAGGTCGAAGTGAAGTCCAGAATCGAGTTGATGGACTTCTCGGCGTGGTTCTTGGTCACAGCAGTGTTGATGTATGTGAGGAGTTCTTTGTATTTGGTCATGGTTTCGGTGTAGTTTCGTAGTTGGAAGTTGATTTTGACCATTTGCTTCAAGGCTTTGAAGCCCCAAATGCCTTTTGCGTCGCCTTGCAAGTCGAGGACGTTTTGGAATGCGGCGAGGGACGTTTCGGGGGTTTCCTCTTTCAGGGATTTGGCGCAGTAGTACTGGTTTTCGAGGTTTACGTCGGATTCGGAGGTGCTGTCTTCGGAGTATTCCAAGTCGTAGTCGCTTTCTTCAAGGAGCATGTCGGAGTCTTCCATTGTGACACTTGACAGGGAATGACAAGTGATTGCTTGTTTTTTTTTGTGACATTTTTTTATGATGACGATGGGGTTTAAAATTCACTTTTTTGGACAGAATTGCAAGTTTTTGAAGTTTTAAAAGGGGCAATAGCTTTTACGTTTTGTTGTTTTTTTAAAGCACTAAATCTGACGCCAAAAGCTCATTTTTTAAATTCTTGCAGTTTTTTTTTAGTCGAAAATGTAAACAATTTCTTTAAACAAAATTAATACAAGATAATTTTACACATTTTCTTGCAGTTTTTTTTCGATTATTTTGCTTTTAAACCATGAAAATTTCTATTTTAGTAAATCCGGGAGAGATGGATCACATTTTGAGAAACCTGCTATTTTCAGTTTTTACGCTTTGTTGCAATTTTTTTTGGCCAAAATCACGCAAAAAGCTTATTTTATGCGTTTTTTTCTAGTTTTTCTCGATATTTTGCTTTCCAAGTTGATATATGTTTGGAAAAGTTGTAATAAAGTAAGTCCGGGAGAGATGGACCATTTGGAAAACTTGCTGTCTCAATTTTTGTAATAAATTTTACTCAAAAGCTTATTTTACGCATTTTGTGTCGTTTTTTTGATATTTTGCTTTGCAAGTCGGTATAAAAGAAGAAAATTTCTAATAGAGTAAATCTGAGAGGGTTTTTGAAATACCTGCTGTTTAAAGGTCAAAGCCCAACTAAATTTTAATTTTTTTACGTTTTGTTATTTTTTTAAAGCACAGTTTTTTGTATTAAATCTGACGCATAAAGCTCATTTTACGCATTTTC